AATTAATAAACTCAAACAGATTGGTCTTTATAATATTGTGTGGACCGTAATAGGTGGACTACACAAGTGAGCCCAATGGGTCGAGGCTCAACCCACAACCCAGTAACCATCAGTTATTTCTTATCTCTTAACTGACTGAGTCAGAGATAATAAAATATATAATTATTTAATTATTTAATTAGGCGATTACCGATCTGATCCTTATAAGTCGATCAGTCGATAACCGCAAACACACGACTCATTTTCTTTTGCTCCATTATCTCTGCACTCTCTGAAGACTCTGAGACAAGTGGGTTGTGCATTTGTCTACACTTGAGATAATCGAGCTTTCTCAAGCGCTCATAAATTCTTCAAGTACCCATATATTACTTTACTTGTTCATGCAAATTGAGATATACAAATACAATATTGCTTTCCTCTTCTTCTTATCAGTGCTGAGGGCATTTGGTACCACTGTGAGCCCTTCTACCAATCGTCGACGGTGATTAGAGGGAGCATGCGGCGGCTGACGGAGGAGTTGAGGAGGCAGGAGTACTGGTTCCAGACGTCGAACAGGGGATGACAGTGGCTTGTGAGAGAGAAGACGAAGACATTGATTTTTTGTTTTTTTTTTGGAAGGAGAACAATATCATTATCATTAAAAAAGGATGGTCTATATTGTTTAAAAAATGCGCAATTCAAGGCAAAAAGCAATGCGTTCTTCTTATAAAGCTGTTCGAAGAAGATATGTTACCTTTCAAAAGGGACTCTGGTTCGAATCAAAGAAGAAACTCTGATTTGCTTTATTCAATCAGTGCGATTCTTAGCTGGATCCGAAACTACTCTGCAAACTGGAATCTCAGGGAGCTGCCAATCTCCTTTGTTGGTTATCGGAAAAATTCCCTCAAGACGCTCGGCGTATGTGGTGATAATAGCTCTGCGGATACCCTGCTTCAGGACATATCTCTTTTGCTCTGTCATTTTCCTAAATGTTTCTTCTTTGCATGTGATGCCAACTTTTTCTTCAATTTTTATTTTTCACCAGGCACTGTTGTGTCCGTTTAACCTTTCTGTTTTCTTTTCTTTTTTTTTTTGTTTTACTCTTTTTTATCTTGGACGAAGACATTGATTTGGAAACAAAGAAAAAGAAAAGAAAAGGAGAGAAGAGAAGATGGAATTGACACCTGGCATGACTGTAGACTTCATCTTGCAAAATTAACTTATGCTTGCCATTTTTTACTATTAAAAAAAAATTACATTCATTAAGACAAGTTTATTGATATTTTTTTTATCCTTATTCATTTAACGTTGTTCGTATTTTTGAAGAAAAAATTTATTGATATTTTTGTCCTTTAACTCAATTTTTTTGTCACTGTGCTCATGGAGTTTTCAAAGTATTGCATGTGAAAGGGATAAGCACGGTTCCTCCAACCACTATGTGTTCTCTTAATTTTATATGAGAAAAGTAAAATATCTTTTTCTTTTTTTACCATTTCTTTATCTGTGCGTTTCATTCTTACTAGGAGCATGCTAATCATTTTTGTCTCATTCCAATTTTATCGAATGTCCCTGAAAGGATAGGAAAGTAAAATACCATTGGAAAAGGCAATATATATATATATATAGGTGTTACCTCTTCTAGTTCTCATTGGATTTCATTCCTTTCCTTCCATTGCATCGACAAAATCATAGTAAAATGTGATGACTTGTTCATTACCACGGCGAAGAGATAGGGTTGAAAGAGGTTCCACCGTTTTCAGATTGATTTAGTAGGATTTAAATTATTAATTTGTCGTCTTGGCTCAATTTCACAACAACGCAGTTGAACAAGGGTAGATATTCAATGATGAATGGCATTATTGATTAAATTTTGAGGCACTCCTATCTCTTTGAGCACTTAGATATTAAAACTCTAGTTTATTTTGAGTTTCTGATGTAAGCTTTCTCCAAATCAATCTTTTGTTCCATGAATTCTTTTGCACGTCTCAGTTAATTATCATAATAAGTTGCATGTTTGTCCCAAGCACAAAGCCCCCTTGAGAATATTTTTTTTATAAGGGGTTTTAACCTATTTCCTAGTTATTGAATCATTCAAAGATAGCAACATTTAAGATTTATTAGTTGGATAACTTATTATAGGAAAAATCGCATCTAACAACCACTGAAGAACATCTGTTGCAAGAAAAGACTAAATAATTCTGAATTTGCTTTTTAAAACTAAGGAACTTGAATGTAATTAAATTTTGTTTTGAAAAGACAAAACTACTTTTTAGATATTTTTTTTTTTAAAATACCATCCTCCACTATTGCCCATCATTATAGCTCCAATGTAGGTAACCATTCAATCTCTATGCTAGGTGATCAAGAGAAGTTTGAACCCACGATCCCTTTAAGTGGTTCATCAAAAGACTTTGTCACCATTAAACTATCAATGCTTCTCAATTATATATACTATACAAATTTATATATATTTTCAACTTAATTAGTTTCCACTTTTTAAATCATTGCTTATCAAAAGCTTAGGTGAATTTATTATTTTAATAAAATTTACTTGTCAATTTATGAAAGAAAATTGTTGAAGAAAGTTTAATATGCACAAGTTTTTTTATGAGATTAAATGTACTAATCAAAAGTTTAATCGAATTTGTCATTATTCTATTATCATAAAATTGTTACTTTACTAATGTTTATTTGCATATTAAACATTATTAAGAAGTTTTCCTCAAAAAATTGGCAACTTAAGTTTACTGAAATGATAAGTTAACATATAATTTTGATAAATAGTACACCTTAGGTTATAATTGTCATATTGCATATTGAATGTTAACAAGTTTCACTTAGTAAATTGATAAGTAAATATTACTAAACTGACAAGTTCAATTAACATTTTGACAAGTATAATTCAAATTATAAAGACAAATATTTAAACATGTTGAACTTGAAGTATGCGTAATATGTGTTTATATAAATAATTAAAAATTTTCTGTCACTGAGCTCTTGGAGTTTTCAGAGTGTTGCACGAGAGGGATAGGCACTGGTTCCTCCAACAACTACGTTTTCTCTTAATTTTATATATGAGAAAAGTAAAAAATCATTGTCCAAAGCAAGTGAGAGATATGTATATGCGTACCTTTTTCATTGGACTTCATTCCTTTCCTTCTACTGTATCCACAAAACCACCGTAAAACGTGATGACTTGTTCATTAATCATTGCTGCAGCAAAGAGATAGGGTTAAAGGAGTACATATTCAATGATGAAAGACGTTATTGATCATTTTGAGGCACTCTAATCTCTTCGAGCACTTTGATACTGAAACTCTTTAGTTTGTTCAAAGTTTCTGATGTTAGCTTTTTTTAAAATCAACCCTTAGTGTCTTGAGTTCTTCCCTCATTGACAATTATCATGATATATATAGTCCTACATGTTTTTCCCAAGCACGAAGAACCCTTGGGATAATTTTTTTATGAGGAGTTTTAACCTATTTATTAATGACTAAATCAATCAAGATATAAATTTAAAATTTATTAGTTGAATAACCGGTTATAATTAAATTAATATTTTATTTATATATATTAACATACATAATTAAAAATAAAATAATTCAAGGATAAGACATTTTATAATTTAGTATTCAAATTCAAAAAGTCAAATGACATGTGTAATCATAAAATTATAAATAATGGATAGAAATTATTTTTTTTAAATTCTCTAATAATTGTTATAATATCATTTATAAAAAATTAGTGTGAGAATTTTATTACTTTTAGAAAAAAACTTATATATTTAAGATACTTATATCCAATTAAATCAAGACATGTAAATCTTTTTATAAATTATTTTTTATAAAAAATTTTTATTATTAATTAAATTAATATATTAAGATTTATATGTTATGTTTTAATTTAATATAAATATATTAAATATATAAAGTGGAGTATTAAGCCTTGCCTTTAGTTTTATTATTTTTTTCTTGGTTCTTTTGTGATGTCATTGGGAACTTCTAAATAGGTGAATGTAGGGAAGCAAAAGCTGACACGCAAAGATAAAGAGTGGAGACATGGTCACATGGAATAGGGAGAGAAGCTTTTGAGAGAATTAAACATTAGGATGGATTATAGTTAAGTTTTTTAATTTTTTGATAAGTTAAAAATATTAATTTAAATAATTATAAATTTAAATTTTTTAATTATAAATAAATTATTTTAAATTTCAAAAAATATTATTATAATATTTATAAATTATTTTTAAAAAATTATTTAAAAATCTTACAGTTGATAATTTAATATTTTAGGATTTAATTGTTTTTCTTTACAAAAATTATCATGATGAAAACAGAAAAAAGAAAACAAAAGTTGGTGAAGATAATAGAGGGAAATAAAGTTTCTCTCTCTCTCTCTTCTATTGTCTAAATGTCTCATCAATGTGTCTCAATGTCTAAATAAAGTTTCTTCTTTTTTATCCTCCTTGTTTCACGTCCAATCAAAACCAATTTTTAGCTTTTGCCTTTTCGGTCGAATGAGCGATGATTTTGTTCTATGACTCTATCTTTTGAACCTTGAAATATGCAATTAACCAAAACATAAAAAAAAGTTTTGTAAGTATACGATATTACCCTTGTCCCAAAAAAGACCGGTTATAGTACCAATCTTTTAAAACACGGATCGACTTGAACAATAGAATTGATACCGTTCAACTATCGATATGATTGGTTAAACTATGAGAACGGCAACCCACCATTAACCTTTCCTATTTGTGCCAGTTTTTAAAACATTTTATAGTAGAAAAACATATGCAAGTATTTGGATTTGTCTGTTTCAGACATTCAATCCAGGTTCAGCAAATAATGGAAAAGAAAAACGTACTTTCTTAAAATTAAAAAATTTGTTAGATCGGATAACCACTTTCATTGTGTTACTCAAACACACAGGTGATTTCCTTTGTTCAAAATCACCTACTCCACTAATTAAACAACACTAATATCATCACTGAGAATATAAAAATGAAATAATGATAAAGCTGCATCGTCTAATTTTGATTTAGACAGAGTCTAGATTTGTGTTCATCGCCTCGTGATTTTGAACTGTTCAACGAACCTAATTTTCTAAGCAACACTGATGATCACTGTGTCCCGCCTAGAAACTACAGAAGAAGAAGTTCGACACAAGGGACAAGTAGGGTTTAACTTGAGCCATGAATCAACACAGTGAAGGTGATAAAGATGGCCACAATTAGGAAGCAATCTCAACTTATCAGTTTCTTTATAATCCATGAAGCAGATTGAACAACATGAAGAACAAGAAGAAGAAGCAGACGAAAAAGGATTGAAGAAACTGATCTTTTTCGCCTCGGAGTAAAAAAGCGGCCTCGAGTTTCTTTGTAAAGTGCTTTCATGATCAGTGCCGTCGACGACGCCATCGGAGCTGCTTTCTTCTCCGACGGCCAGAGAATTTGAGCAAAACCAGTACCTTCGAAGGCGATCACAAGCTAAAAGTAGGGTTAAGAGAAAGAAGATCACACCAAACACGAAAGAGAATCTCATCGTCAGATTCTGGTAGTAATACTATAGCTAGCTGAGGGAGTTGAAGGTGTTTATTATAATTGTTCAGTCTATGAACCGGACAAAGTGAGAATGATGAAGAAAAAGAAATTGGAAGCTCGATTGACTATAAGTTTATTTTAATATATAGAGAATGATTGACATGACGACGTCTGCATGTCGTTTTCAGTTTCGAATACTTTATAGTTTTTGTCGTTTTTGTTAATTTCTGGGTTTCGTTTTATTGGTTGGGTAAGGTTTTGAATAGAGACTCGTCGATTGGCATATAATCCTCTAGAAATATTACTGACCATGATATAAGATATTTTTTAAAAATTTTATTTAATTTTTTATAATTATTTTTTAATTATATTTTTACTTTATTAATTATTATTTTTTTTAAAAATGATGTATTGAAATTTTAATGAAAAAATAGCAATGAAGAACTAATGAAAGAAGTTTATATCATTTAAGAACTAGTTGTTATTAAAATTTGAATAAAAAAATTCGAACAAATTGTTGTTGATTTATAATAAATTATTATTAAAATCTGAATGAATACTTGTTAATAAAAGGTTAATCTAAATGAATAACTACCTATTCGAGTTTGATAATAAATAATCATTGATTGATATAACTTTTTTTCAATGGTCTTTAATTGATATTTTTTCAATTCTAATTATCATTATCAAGATACTTACATAAAATATTTAATAAAAATATAATTAAAAAGATGAATTTTTTAAAAAAATTAAAATTTTAACTAATATTTTTTTAAAAAGTATAAATTAATTATTAATGTCCAATATTTTGATCTGAGCGTTGTCACTGTTAATTTTTAAAGAAAAGAGCAGGACAGCAAACTGCATCTGAGTTTACGCGGATTCTGAATCATAGATCAATAATAGTACATCAATGATCCAACCCTGTGCATGCCAAGTTACACACGTGTGTGTGCGTGTGATTTTATAAATATTGACTTTATAAGGTTTTTTACATATCTCATGTAATATTTGATTTTATGATTATTATAAAGACTTTTTCCTTTAATTTAAATATTTTAAAAATATTGAATAAATGTTGAGTATTTATTCATGGTCGAAGAATGTGACATTGAATCCAAACATTAATTTTTTTGATAAAGAAAAAATCCAAACTATTTTTCAATAAAATATTCATTGAGTCGCTTTATAAGTCACTTTCAACATATTTCACTAGTACAACAAAAAAAATTTAAAACTCATTAAATCTATCTTAAAATTTAATAAGTTTTCAACTTTGCCCCTATTAAATATACATATTTCAATAATATAGTTTCTCTCTCCAACATTCAATGGAGGGTAAAAGAGAAAATTTGTGATAAAAATTTAATGACATGATTTATAAATAAGACTAAAAAAATTCTTCTTTCTTTGCCCTATAAATAGGACTGGAGGGAGTATGTCTTGAATGAGGTGAATTAAATTTTATTAGTGAAGAAAGTTGATTACCAAATAATTCTTTTGATAAGAATTTAACCCATAACTCACAACATCATATATTCAAATCCCACTATTGATAGAAGGACCTTGTTGGTCGATGACCTGTGAATATTTCTGTAAGAGCTCATTAATCTTAGAGACATACTCTATCTTTGGTGAATACTCGAGATTCAACTCACGTAAAATATATTTTTATAAAAAGGGTCAATAAATTTGTTTTTATTTAAAAATTTACAAAAATTTTAATAAATTTCTTACTTTTTATTGGGACAACTTTGGCCCAATATTAATTAGCTTGGCAGTTGGCACTGCCCAATATGGATAGCATACTATTTGAACATTACAAACAAAAAGATATGCATTTAGGTTTTGTTACATGAATGGTAAAGGTTTGTCAAAATCAATTGCGGAAGTTACTAAAATCAAATCAAGAATGATACGAAAGTAAGCTTTCAAAAGAATGGCTTCATAGTGACAAATTGTTGTCGACAAAAGTTGGTTCAGGTAGTAAAAAATTGAATTACAACCCACAAGGTGTGGGAATAAATCCCACTGCTAATGTAAAAACATTGTTAGTGGATGATTTAATTGCAAGTATCTCTTTAAGTGTTCTTTAAATTTAAAGGCATATTTTGGCCCTGCTGAGCTCTCAAGATCTAACTCATCTAAACTTTTTTCATAAAAAAATATTGCCAAATTGTTAAGTAAACTTTTTTCCATAAAGTATGTTATTTTCTAGGAGTTATTGTTAGTCTAAATGTAAGATATTTTTGTAGTTTGAAAAAAAAAATCTCTTCTTTTCTACCGCTATATTAGTTAATGTGGGTTGAGTAATTATGCATAGAAAATTATAAGGACAAAACTAAAAAAATAAGCTAATTTTTTATTATATTTTTAAAAAATATTTTTTTCTTAGTGTGCGTGATACAGGTTGAAAGTATTCTACTTCAACATTGCGGTTTAAATTTCTGTTTTTTTTCTTTAAAAAAAATTGTGGATTAAGTAGATAAAGCATATAATAATCCAAAGGCTAAGAAAAAGAGGACAACAAAATAAAATAATAGACGCGTTAAAAAATTAACCAAAAGGACTGAAGAAAAAGACACAATAGCAGTTTGGTAACTAGCTAGCTCGTTTCCTTTATTTTCTTCGAGTTCGCGCGCTCGTGTTCATATTTTGGAACTCAGTGATCATTGGCTTGCATTTATCACAATCTTTTAATTTGAATGAAAAAAAACTCATATGAACTGTTGTTAATTTATAATAATTTATTATTAAAATTTAAATAAATACTTATTAATAAAAGACTAACATGAATTAATAACTATTCATTTAAGTTTTGACAATAAATAATCATTGACTGATATAAATTTTCTCCAATGGTCCTTAATTGATATTCTTCCAATTTTAATTATCATTATCAAGATAGTTATATAAGATATTTAATGAGAGTATAATTGAAAAGATGCAATTTTTAAAAAAAAAAATTAAAATTTCAACTAATATTTTTTAAAAATTATAAATTAATTATTAATGTCCTATATTTTGATCTCAAAGAGCGTTGTCACTGTTAATTTTTAAAGAAAAGAGCAGGACAACAAACTGCATCAGAGTTTACGCGCGGATTCTGAATTATAGATCAATAACAGAACATCAATGATCCAACCCTGTGCCAAGTTACATGCGTGTGTGTGTGTGTGATTTTTCAAATATTGACTTTATAAGGTTTTTTTATATATCTCACCGAATATTTGATTTTATGATATTATATAGACTTTTTCCTATAATTTGAATATTTTAAAAATATTGAATAAATGTTGAGTATTAATATTGACCGTCGAAGAATGTGACTATCAATCCAAACATTAATTTTTTTGGCAAAGATAAAATCCAAACTGTTTTTCAACAAAATATGTCTAGAATGAGGTGAATTATGTTTTTATTAGTGAAGAAAGATTATTACCAAATAATTCTTTTGATAAGGATTTAACTCATAACTTACAAAATCATGTATTCAAATCTCATTATCAATGTAAAGAACCTTGTTGGTCGATGACCTGTAAATATTTTTGTAAGTGCTCTTTGATCTTGGAGACATACTGTGGCTTTGATAAATACTCAAAATCCAACTCACCTAAACTATATTTTTAAAGAAGGGGTCAATAAAATTTGATTTTATTTAAAAATTTATAAAATTTTTAATAAATATCTCACTTTTTATTGGGGCAAGTTTGGCCCAATATTAACTAACTTGACAGTTGGCACTGCCCAATATGGATAGCATACTATTTCAACATTACAAACAAAAAGATATGAATTTAGGTTTTGTTACATGAATGGTAAAGGTATGTCAAAATCAATTGCGGAAGTTACTAAAATCAAATCAAGAATGATACGAAAATAAGCTTTCAAAAGAATGGCTTCATAGTATCAAAATGTTGTCAATAAAAGTTGGTCCCGTAAGTAAAAAATTGGATTATAACCCATAAGGTGTGGGAATAAATCTCGTTATCAATGTGAAGATATCGTTGGTGGATGATTTAATTGCAAGTATCTCTTTAGGTGCTCTTTAAATTTAAAGGCATGTCCTGACTCTGATGAGCTCCCCAAATCCAACTCACCTAAACTGTTTAAAAAAAAAAATATTGCCAAATTGTTAAGTAAACTTTTTTCTATAAAGTAAGTCATTTTCTAGGCGTTATTGTTAGTCTAAAATGTAAGATATTTTGTAGTTTTAAAAAAATAATCTTTTCTATCTACCCCTATATTAGTTAATGTGGGCTGAGTAATTATGCATAGAAAATTATAAGGACAAAACTTTAAAAAAAGCTAATTTTTTATTATATTTTTAAAGAATATTTTTTTCTTAGTATGTGTGATACAGGTTGAAAGTATTCTACGTCAACATTGCGGACTAAAACATTGTGGATTAAGTGGATAAAGCATATAATAATCCAAAGGCTAAGAAAAAGAGGAGAACAACAAAATAAAATAATAGACGCATTAAAAAATTAACGAAAAGGACTGAAGAAAAAGACACAAAAGCAGTTTGGTAACTAGCCAGCTCGTTTCCTTTATTTTCTTCGAGTTCACACGCTCGTGTTCATATTTGGGAACTCAGTGATCATTGGCTTGCATTTATCACAATCTTTTAATTTCTTTAGTCGGTGGGTCTTATTGTCTTCATTTGAGTCTAATAGGTCAACACTTAAATAGAAAACGTCAATGAGTAATATAATTATTTTTAAATAAACCACTTGTTCACTTTAATTTATTAAAGTTTAATTTAAGACTGGCTCGAAAATTGCTTGTTGGCGTATCTATAGATAATATTTATTTTATTTTGAAAAAATTTCTCCTCGTCATTCTTTTTCAAGTGGGGAACTTTAAAAGATCAGTTTTTTTAAAAAAATTTGAAACAATATTAGGAAGTCTTTTATTTTTACTCTTTCGTTGTATTGTATCATACATACTATACAAAAGAAAAATGAGTTGTATTGTATTAGGAAGTCTTTTATTTTTACTCTTT